CGCATGTGTGGCCAAAAGAAATTAGAAGCGAGACGGTGAAACGTGCGGTGGACAACGGAATGTCTGCCAATCAGTTGGAATTACCAAACGATTCTAAAAAAAAAAAAAAGGTCATCCTTGAAACCATACTCCGACAATGTAGAATGATCATTAGTCAACTGCTGTTGAAGTTTGAGAAGCTCGAGGTGTTGCTTATTAGCAAGACGAAGGTCATCAAGAATACCGAAATCTTGTCGAGAACAAGCCATGAGCTGTAAAAGGAACACGAGACAACACATCTGCGGGGACATTGCCCTTACCAGAACGATGTACAATATCAAAATCATACCCAAGAAGTTTATTGAGCCATTTCTGCTGCTCCAGAATTTGTATTACATGGGTTTGTAGATTTTTCAAGGCTTGTTTATCCGTATAGATGATAAATTTTTAACCCAACATATATTGACGCCATTTTGGCACTGATTGAGTAATGGTGTACATCTCCCGCTGGTAGGTAGAGGCACGTTGGAGCAAAGGAATCAACTTTTGGTTAAAGAATGCCAATGGTTGTCCACCTTGAGAGAGAACAACACCAATATCGATTCTAGACGCATCTGTTTCAATGGTAAATAATTGTATAAAATCTGGTAAGTGAAGGACATGCATTTTACTCGAAATTTGTTTCAAGGACTCAAATGACTGATTAGTAGCGGGCGTCCAAATGAAATCATCTTAGCGAAGAATGTCAATCAATGGACCAGATATGGTGGCATAGTTATGGATGAATCGACGATAATATCCCGCTAAACCAAGAAAACTGCGGACATCCTTAACTGTTTGCGGTAGTGGCCATTGACATATAGCTACTATTTTATCTGGATCAACTGAGACCCCTTGTGTTGAAATGATGTGTCCGAGATAACCCACGGATTGCTGGCCAAAAACACACTTGGAAAACTTGGTGACCAAATTATAAGCGCGCAACAACTGAAAAATCAGGCGCACATGGTGCAAGTGCTCTTCCCAACTGGAGCTATAGATTAAATTATCGTCCAAGAATACCAAGAAGAATTTTTGAAGATAATGGCAAAAAACATCATTCATCAAGCGTAGGAATGTCGAAGGTGCATTAGACAACCCAAATGGTATGACAAGAAATTTGTAGTGGCCATCATGAGTACGAACAGTTGTCTTCTTAACATCCGTTGTTTTTAGTCGGATCTGATGGTAAATCCAATTTCGAAAAAAAATACAGCCCCACGTAATTCATCAATCGAAGGAATGGTAAAAAGATCACGAATGGTGATAGCATTAAGGGCTCGATAATCTACGCAAAAATGCCAAGTACCGTCTTTCTTCCAAATTAACAAGACGGAAGAAGAATGACTGATACTCGGTCGAATAATGCCCTCCCGAAGCATCTTCGAAACAAGCTTCTTTATTTCCTTCTTCTGAAAATGAGGATATCGATAGGGACGAACCTTCACCAGAGAAGAATGCATCAGTAACGTAATTGAATGATCAATAGGACGAGACAATGGAAACCCATGCGGCTTAACGAACACATCCGAAAATTCATCCAATAAATGTTGGATGGTCGATTCAATCAAAGGAGGCGCTGAAGAGTTCGGTGACACCAATTCCAAATGGAAAAAGTCATCATTCGTCTTAGTGTGAGATAAATGCCGCAAACTATTAAATTGCAACGGAGTATAATCGTCTTTCCAAACAACTGAAATCCCATTATATTGGAACTCAAAATGGGAAGTAGAGTAATCAGTAACAACCAGACCCAAGGTAGCTAACCAAGACACGCCGAGAACAAGATCCCATCCTTGCAATGATAAAACATAAAAATCAATAGCCAGAGTATGACCTTGTATAACCAGGGAAGTTGCCGAACCAGACCAGTACAAGATAATCGTTCACCACTACCCACAACAACTGAAAATAGAGAAGTATCCTCAATAGGTAACTACAAAAACTTTGCCACACGAGTCTAAATAAAGCGGGGGGTATTGCCTCCATCAAGTAGAACTTGCACCGATTTTCCATGTACAATTCCTGTGAAACGTAAGGTAGAAACAAAATAGCCGTCCGCAAGAGCATTATAAGAAATAGTGGAGTGAGTCTGCACTTCTTGAATTTGATGCTTGTCAGCAAGATTGACATCCGATGACGGAAGAGGGAGTTGGATTTTGTTTTCACTCATTTATGGCTAATAATGCAACTTACCAACTCCTCTTGTTTTTATTCTCTTAAACCAATGGTTAGGTATAATAGTGTTGAAAGGATTTTATATTTTAAAATATATATTTTTGGTAATGGAATCTTAATTTTAAGTGGACAAAGTCCATTACTTATATTACTTACATGATAAGGATTAAATCCAACTAAAAGCTTAATTTTAATCAACGTCTTCTCTCTTCGAGTTATAGGTCTTAGATGTGGCAATCAGAGTTATAGGTCTTAGCTGTGGCAATCAGAGTTATAGGTCTTAGATGTGGCTATCGGGTACTTTGGATTGGATTTAGGTCATATCATTTAGTTTAGATTTGATTTAGATTAGATTGAATCCGATTCAGATTTAGTTCAAATTTATGATAAGTCAACCCAAATCGAATATTAAGTCGAGTCAATAATTTTTGGATCGAGTTAATATTAAATATGTAAATTCTGAGTCAATTTAATATCATATTGATCAAATTTTTGTTCAAATCAACATTTCAATCTTTGAGTTAATTTGAGTTGAATTAAGTATGAATTTAATCGATTATATATATATATATAATTATTTATATTCTTATAAAAGAATGTATCTTTTTATTTGTTAATCTTATCATTTGAGCTTAATTTAAACCCTCAACCTTTTAATATTTCAAATTCAACCATCATCATTTGAGATTGACAATTTGACTCAAATTCAACCTTGTCAGACACGTTAGAATTTGTGCCTTAAATTTCGTATTAATCTAGTTTGAAAATTTTGTAGTACAACAAATTTAGTGAACAAATAAAAAATTTCAATTATTAATGTAATTCTCGATTAAAATTTTCAACTAAACGTTTAATTTTTAATTATAAATAAAATATCTTATTAAACTTTTAAAAGGAGATATAATAATTATATTTGAAGAATATTAGTTTAAATAGTTTTATACTATACCTGATAATATTTTAAGTTTAAATTATAAAAAAATAAATATTTGTGTATGGTAAAAATAAGTTATTTATCAATTTTTATTTAAAAATGAAGAGTTTGATTCTTAAATAAAGATGATACATTATTGACATGCCATTTTCTTTTTTTGTAAACGTGAGACAAAATATTTTAATTTTAAATTTTTTTATTCTCTGTCTACTATATCATTCTTTAATTTCAACTCTCTTCTAAGTTTAATGTCATCGTCACTCTTTGTCGTCACAATCATCGATGTTGCTCTTTACTAATAATTCAAGAATTCATTTGAATTTGGAGTATGAGTTTTACTTTAAATCAATAATGTTAATTAATCTTTAAAATTCATGATCAAATTAATTTTTTTGAAGTATAGGAACAAATTTATAAATTTTAATAAATTTTAGGATTGATTGTACTATTAAATATCAACAATTTTATAACTTAATTTTTTTTATTTCATGTGTTCATTCATAAATGAATGAATTTGGGGATTTGATGGTTAAAACATCTTAACCCCTAATTTAGAGTTTTAATGTGTTGTTTTTAAAAAAATAGTTCATCAAGCTCACGACAATGGGGGGTTTTCTTCAATTGATTAAGATGAACTAAAAGACATCACCCCCCCCAATATTTATCTTAACCATTTGGTATAGCAAATCCAATAACAAGGCTTAAAATATTAATATATACTTCATTCATCAGTTCAATTTATCACATTTCAGTCACAAGTTAATTCTATATCAAATTATAATTTAATTCAAAACTAATATATACTATTAGACATTTATTCACGGGCTTAAGATATTAATTTAACCATTAAGAAAAATATCTTTCGATCATCGAAAGTCAAATAGATTTTTGGATGTTACAAAATCAATTTAACATCTTCTGTCCTTGATGTTCTAAAAATAATAATAACTCAATATTATACACTTTTAATATTATAATAAATGGATAAATTAATATTAACACTTATTTGATGGAAGATAGAATTTACACAAATTTTCAAAATTTTAGAAATGAGATCAACTCCAATGCATAACATATATTCTTTTATGTTTCTATTTTACTCAACATATTCTTCCTTCATGTTTATTTTATTCCACGTGGCATAAAATAATATTATTTTAGAATTAATTAAAAAATGATGTTAGATTAAAAATAATTTTAAAGAGAAAATATGATACATGTAAAGTTGGGAATGGTGATTATGAGAACTCAATTCCTAAAAAGAAGAAAAACAAAAAGGTCCATAAATAATCCAACAGTGAAGCAGCCATACCTTCCGACTTTAGACCATTCTACTTTAATCCATATTAAATAAGTTTTTTTCCTTTATCAAAGTATTCCATTGGTTTTTGTACCAAAAAAAGTATTAAACTGGTTTTAGATAATATAATAATATGCATGATAAAAAATTAACACCATCGTACTAATATCATATCAATTCCATAATTTAAAAAAGCAAATAATTTATTCTCTTCTCATTTTCCTTAATTTAATAAGTAAAATATATAGTTAGTACCTCAATTATTACTTTAATTTTATTTAGTCACTTAGTTACTTTTTGCTTCAAAATCATGCTCTATTTAATTTTAGTTTATTTTTGTTACATGTCATTATTTTTTATCATTATAAAATAATATTACATCAAATAAAATATCACATAAAATAAAACGTTAATAATTTTATTAATTTTTAATGATGAATTACTAAATATTTAAATAATAAAAATATCAAAACGATGGTTAGAATACTAAATATAGTTTAATTTATTTTTTGAACGCTCAATGACAAAGGATTATCCACGTCTCCACTTTTATAATCACTCTTTCTCTCTCCCCTTCGCATTCAATATGAGAATAGAAAGCGAAGTGTCACCGCCACCCACCGAAAGAGAGAGAAAACTGAAACTTGTTCTTCGCCGACTGAGGGACTGACCCCAAAGACTTATCGCAAAAAAATTGTTTGGAGAAGGAAATTAGGGATTATTGATCGTAATTTGTGCTTTTTGGGGGTTGCTGGGGAGATATGTACATAGGTTCCATGAGAAAGTCTTTCAAGGACTCTCTTAAAGTGCTTGAAGCTGATATCCAACATGCCAATACTCTGTAAGTTTCCTTAATCATAATAAAAATCTAGTTTTGGGTTCTTGTTTTCGTTGATGCTTCTGTTTGAAATGAATGTTACTGTTCACAAAGCTTGAAGCTTTTTTCCCCTGAATTTTTGTTTAAAGAAATGGTTCTCTGATCCTGATTGCGAATCATATTTTACTTCTCCAGCAAAATGTTATCATTGTTTACATATAAAAAAATTCTTGCCATTTTGACTTTCTAATATTATCTTTTATTTTTTATTTTTTTAAAAAAACTTTAGCCCAAAGTTTTTCCTCTTCAGTTTCAACCTCCCATGTTTGATTCTTTGTTTTTTTTTCAGAAAAATATGGGTGTTAAACATTTTCCATAGTAGGTTGAATTTTACTTTCAGCCTATTTTGGTCAGCAATGCGTTTAATATTTTTTCTGTTTATAGTAGGTTGAGTCAGTTTCTTGCACTGACAGTTTTCCCCTTACACAGGCACTAGATATGGGGTATCTTAATTATGACTGCCATTTTTGTTTGTAAACATTTTTTCTTTGGAGATGTTAGAGCAAAGCTAGAGCTTTGAGGAATCTTTTCAAAGATTGCAAGTTTGCATGTGTTTTGTGGGGCATTTTTCGTTATCTTGATAAATCTATTCCATCAGATTTCACGTGACTAATGGGTTCCATTTGATTGTACTGTTGTCACTAATGTTCTTTTAATCTTTTTCATCACTATACTCATAGACGTACACATATGTTCTTTTCATCTTTTTCATCCCTATACTGATAGATGTACACATGATTTTATCTTAGGCCGAATTTTAAAAAATTTAGGAGCGAACTTATAACTACAAAGAAAATATCTAAATATAGGCTAATTTGGAATTTTCAGGGTCCAACTGCCCCCACCCGCTCTGCTCGGTCCATCCTTGCCTATACATGTAATATAGGCTAATTGTTTTGTATAAGTTGCAATTAGTTCTTTTGTATAAGTCTGTATAATTTCCTTTGTAGCTGTGGGTGTTGGTGTGTCAATATGGTTTTGACCCCATCTATATGTTCTCATTCTGCTTAAATGTTCTTTGTGTAATGGAAACTACAGGGCTTCGGATCTTCCGAGAGAGTATGATGGTGCATGCCTTCAAATGAGAATGTCGTACAGTCCAGCGGCGCACCTCTTCCTGTTTTTGGTACAGTGGACTGACTGTCACCTTGCCGGAGCATTGGGGCTGTTAAGGATACTGATTTACAAGGTTATATTTCATTACTTTGGGTTTAACTAATATCATAATGAGGGATGTTAGCTGATTTTGTCATTGTATCACATTTTTCAGGTTTATGTGGATGGAACTACCACCATGTCTACGCATGAAAGGAAAGCTAGCATAAGAGAATTCTATGGTATCTTCCTCGATCTGTGTTCTGGTTCACTTATAGAATGTAGTTCTTATTTTCTGGGTTATCCTAATGCTTCTGATTTCGTACGTACCATGTCCAGCTGTTATCTATCCCTCTTTACTGCAACTTCAGAGCGGTGTCACTGATACAGAAGATAAAAAACAGAAAGCAGTGCGAATGGAAAGGTACCGAAGAAGAGACGATGAAGATTACAGGCAGCTTAATAATGTTGATTTCGAAAGAGAAGAAGAATGTGGAATATGCATGGAGATTAACAGTAAAATTGTGTTGCCAAATTGCAACCATGCTATGTGCTTGAAGTGTTATCATGAGTGGTATTCTTCCTCTCGCCTGCCCTGTCTGCTTTACCATCTATCTTTTGCTTCATATACTTTCTATGATTTCTGATTTTCTGTTACATTTTCAGCTGTGCATAAATCCTTTAAAGTTCTGTTTTTACATTCCAAGAATCGTTAGTACTACAGTCCCGACTCCCCAGTAATATATATAGCATAGAAATTGGCCTCTCTAGGATATTGATAGGTTTGTTGTTTTGCGTTCATAACCTTGCTTGATGTGTTTTACGAATGGAACCCATGAAGTTATGGAGGATAAACGTATAGAATTTGCAAGTGACCGGTAGATGTGTTGCTTGAAATGCTATTTAAAGTATGATGATGTAATTGAATCTTTGGAATTTATCATTTAAAAAGCTTATGATGATGCAGCATTTAGAATGGTGATTATTATGTTCTCTTTACATCTATGTAAGATGGAACCATGCATGTTGTCCGGTTGGCCCCAGATGCTTTTTGAGTGTTCTTGCCTCTTGTGTCTTCTATCTAATTTCTTGACTTCAACATCATAATTGTTTTCAAACTTCAGATATAAACTTTATCTGTCCATCTAGGAATCATTGGGTTTTGAAACTGGTTATGTCATAACTTTAGTAAGGTGTCTCAGGTTAGGCAAATTGCTTTAACACATAAGTAAAACAACGAGACTGTTACCTCACTGTTTGTAGTTCAGCTGTAAAGGGATGCTGACTGGTCTGAGGTTTCTAAAGATGATTTTTTGTTCCACTTTAAACACGAGGGAGCATTGTTGAATCTAACATGGATAGTGTTCCGGAGTAAGAATCCAGTAAACGTTCTTGCTTAATTCTCAATTTTCTATATATACTTTCCTGATTGTTCAATACTTATTGATCGTCACCTTTTCTGGAAGGTTCGAAGTTCTGAACAACTGAAATGTATTATGGTCTGTAATAAGATATCGGATATCTTATTTGTAATAACTTTGCAATGGTGGGTGCTTTAAAATCATGATGGTGTATAAGCTATGTTGCTCCAACATTTCATTTTTCTTAAAGTATCTGTGTCCGATGCATAAAGTCCAAGTAACAGTGGAAAAGTGTTAGTTTACTGCTTCACTATTTCCCTTGGACGATAATAGATTGTTTTTTTACGATAATAACGATCTGTTACAATGAATTGCAGGCGAGCCAGGTCACAGTCTTGCCCCTTCTGCCGGGATAGCCTTAAGAGAGTTAATTCCGGGGATCTCTGGGTTTATACAGACAATAGGGACATAATTGACATGGCCACGGTGACGAGGGAGAATCTTAGAAGGCTTTTCATGTATATCGATAAGTTGCCACTGATTGTCCCTGATACCATTTTTGATACTTATGATTCCCATCTAAGGTGATATAAGTATATTCTGAATTATCTTCTCGGTGATCTGATTATAGACTTATCGTTTTCTCTTTGATTACATAAAAGACCGAATCACTCGGATTCGGTGAATTTAGATGAGCTAGTACTGTAGTGGTTTCTTCCCACTTCTCACCTGAAGAAAAAGCATGCCCCGAGTAATTATGGATCGGTGAAGTCAAGGTTAGTTTATTTGGTATATTTGTACATGATTGTATAGCCTAATGTTGGATGATTAAAGAAAAATAATTCCAAGTCCTTTTCTGTGGCATTGAATCCCTTGAAAATGGATGAACGATTAAACATGCTGCATGTTGTATGATTGTGTCAAAGACATAATCAGTTGTTTCTGTTACTGTGGTTTAAGCATGAACCTTGTCCCATGTTTATTCTCCCTTTGCTGTCTTTTACAGTTTACTTGTTTGAGGGATAAACGGTTCCGTCATCATATTTAGTGTAAATGTTACTTCTTTTCTTTTCCCTTGGTGGCACTTAAATCTTCATTGTACCAACGTTGAGTCGAATATAGGGAGTTCGATTTTCGCTTTTTAAGTGATGTTGAGTCGAATAGTAGGAAGTTCGATTTTTGTTTTTAAGTGATTTTGGGTTAGATGATGTGGATAACAAAAAACAATCTTGTGAAAGTTTTGTTCTCTGTTCTGGATGCAATTGAAGTTGAGACTCATAATGTTATTTGAGTGGTAGAATAATATAAGATTGTTTAGTGATACTGGGTACCGCCCCTATCTTTGATCATTAATGTCTCATGTCAATGTTGTTTAATACATCATATTTAGTGATACCAAGTATAGATATCATTTATAATATTTGATGGTTTGTGATATTAAATATAGAGTATAGATGTCAACGTTATGTGATGCCAACTATTATTATTGATTATTATACGATATTAGGTGATATTATATTATTTATTGTTAATAAAATGACTGTGTTAACAAGTTATAAATCAGTTAGTGATTGATGACATTTTCTAGTAATGCAACGTTGGTAAGTATGATATCTGTATATTGATGACATTGTGAGATGTGATACACCTTAGACTTAGGAAAGACGTTGAGCCTTGATAATTAACTATAGAATATATATGATATATTTAATGCTTCTGTGCTTATATATGGCTTGAAAGTTTTTATAATCCTCAAAAAAATATAATAGAATAGATGTGTACTATTGAATTTTTTAAACTCAACGTTCATATTGTTCATGTGCACATGTTACAAGTTTCATGGTTCATGATAGGACAAGATCATCATCGAAGGAGTCTCAATGAGATCATCCTAATATAGTAAATAATTGAGTGAAATAAAATATATTTAAGTCTAGTTTGTAAATATATTTGTATATCTGATTTTTTTTTAAATAAAAGAACTCTGATTTTTATATAAATTGTTTTAATCCAAGAAATCATATTTTATATTGTTTAAAATTTTCTAGGTAACTTTAAAAGTCGAACGTAACACTCACAAATCCATCGACAAATTCAAGTTCGTTTGGGTTGTTAGTTTTGATATATATATATGCGTAAATATTTAATTTAGTTTAAATATACATTTGATTTTGATTCAATTATACATTTAAAAAATAAATATTTCTTATTATGGTATTAGTTAAATATAATTACTTACTATACAATATGTGATAGAAAAACGACTGATTTCAAAAAGATTCAGAATATGAAATTTCCCAGACCATCAAATGTCAAAAAATCTTTTCCATGTGCCATGATTAACAGGACCGGGAACTTACATCGCCTTCCCGTACTAATTAGCAGAAATGTTTCTAAGGACAAATGTGGTGGCACCTGAAGAGGGGCAAACAACAGAAGAAAATAAAAATGTTTCTTCACCTAAACGGCCCCGGACTAGACTTTATCGATCAATAGTAGCATGTCAGCAACATGATGGATTTCTCCTAGCATGCTATTCAGCGAATAAAGATTATATCGGACTTTCATCTTTTCACCTCTATGCTGAAGTACTTGGTACATCTTCGGCACGTTCATCAGGAGTAGTGGATGGTGGCGGTTTCACCAACGGAGGAGGACTGTGTGGCAATGGTCTTGGTCTGACTTGTGCCACTATCTCTTTACATATTTCAAACTGCAATGCGTAAAGAAACATGAAATTGCGGATAAAACGTAGGTGAAGAAAGCAAATGATAAGCCCTTTAAATTTCGAGGTCTCAGACCAACCTTATAACCACATCCAGCTACACAAGCATTGAAGCATTCCTGTATGATAAAAAAAATCAACGATGAATTTAATAGTATAATATTTGACCAAAAGTATTGCTTATTTCACTGATTCGAATTACGAATTCCTATAATTTACACAATTGCACTGCACATACATCCTTATGCTTTGAATTACGATATGTTTGAACACATTCCGAGTCATATAGAGTATTGATGTTCTTCAAACAGCACTTCCGCCGTTAATTTCTTTGTAAGTGACATATTAGCAAGATATAATCAGGATAATAGAACAAACCAACCCTCAAGAAGCTTCCATGTGACTAAGGTGCTCACCTTTTCCGACATGAATTTACAAAAGCAAAAGCATATCCCATTTAATGGGTCTAGAAGCACGACAATTAGGGGGTCTAGCTTTACTAGCACAGAGACAGTACCTTGGGGTACTATTGGGTAAGTTATGTCGTTGTAATGGATTTTACTTCTTTTTTTTTACAATAATTTAAAGTATGTGTGTGTATCAGGTTTTGTTTGATTCATAGCAATCCCAAGAACATTCTGAACAGGGGTGAGCATTCAATCGAGTCTAGTAAAAAATTTCAAATTATTCGAGCCGACAAGTCTTATTTTAGAACTCAAAGTTGACTTGAAATTTTTTCGAGTCGAGTTTATAAAATTCGAGTTGAGTCGAGTCAAGTCGAATTTTCAAGTTTCTGTTTTAATTTAATTGTAAATAATATACTATTATGATATTATTTGATTTCAATTTAAATAGTTTTTATAACCATATACAATACATATATACTTCATATTGTTTTCACATGTGATATACATATATCATATAGATTCGAGGGGCTCGACTCAAACTTAAAAACCAATCCACTAATTACTAAAAGTTTTGAGTTATTAGAGTTACTATTCCAATTATTCGAGTTGTATTTTACAACTCGATTTGAACTTGAAATTTTTTCGAGTAAAGTTTATGAAATTACAACTCGAAGTCAACTCGAATCGAGTCAACTTGAAATTTTCTCACCTTTGATACACAAAAAGACTAGGTTCGTCGTGAGTCAACCTAACACTAAACAGCAACTGCAAACCAGTGTAAATAATCAACTCTAAATAACTGAAGTGAACACCGAACTCAAAAGTACTAAAAACTTCTCCTACAGTGCAGCACTAGATTTCTAACGAGAAGAGAAGTTGACTAAATTTGATATATAGCAGACTTTCATAGGTTCATTCTTTCAAAAATTAAAAACATAAAAAGCAGCTCATACCAAGTAAGCAGCAATTCTACCAAATCAGCCATGAAAAAATTCTAGGGTCATTACAGGTGAGAAAATGAGATAAAAAATGGGTATAAGATTAAGTACCTGAGAGTAATTGGTAGCTCCAGGGGAGCGATCCATGTAAGCACTCCATTTCTGGTCCTTCAACACAGGATCCTTATAGCATATCTCATCACATTCCGATAAACCTTAAACGCACATAATCGTAAAAAGAAAGATATAATCAGCTTTAAAAGATATACTGTTTCACCTGTGTATTATATAACACAAGGAACATCAAAACACTGATTAATCCAGATTCGAAGAACATACAGCAGTTTTTAAATAAAAAGCAACAATCGATACAAAACTGCTTACATTCTTCCCATGTCTCTCCATCCGCACTACACCCTTTTTTGCAGAACACTCTCCCTACAAGAACTTGAGATTGTTAGTAGCGTTCATAGTTTGCTGACATACAAATAGTTTTCTCAGCTAAATCAACCATTGCTCATAATTAAAAAATAGAGGGAAATTAAAATGAGGAAAATCCCAAATTCATCATGTAAACAACTAAACGAAATAATTCGAACACCTCGTTACACAATGCACAGTTTGTGGGAAATTGATAGCCAATTTATAATAGCTCACGCTATCATAAATCAACAACCAAAACTTGCAACAGACGTGGAGTATCCGTTCAAAAACATTTGGAGAAATCCCCCTCAATCCGTACAAATAAAGGAATATAACAGCAAGATCCACACAAAAACAACTAATTAAATGGAACCTTGATCTTTAAGGAAGAAGCTTCAAATGCAATCAAATATAAAGAACACACAGAATGCTAAGATCTATCAAATTATTAAAAAATTAGAAAGAATTTTAGGAAAATAGAAGTAATACAGGGAATCTGGGTGAGAGCAGCGTATTTGTGAGTGCATTGATTTCCACAAGGAGAAGCCCATTGCTCAGGTATCATTTTCTTCTTGCTTTCTCCAAAAGCGGCGTCGGAAACGGACCAAATTTGGAACTTTTGGTTTCTTTAAACCTTGGGGTTTGGAGGCACTCAAGACTACTTTGGTAATTTACCACAACGGTCATTCAACTATTATTACTTTTATTTTGGCCACCCAATAATTTTTTTCTACTTAGTTGCTGATATTATTCCGGTCACTAATTGTTAAATCATTGGAAGCATCCGAAAGTTGGCAGAAAAGCTTGGCTAAACTATCAGCCAAGCCCACGCACATGCATAAAGATAAATACCCACGATTGATCTAAGAGATGTGTTTTGTGTAACAAAACCTTGAACTGCCTTCTCCATGTTGAAATATCCTGCAACATTCGTATGGCCTGGCCTCCACACTACCTGATTCCACTATTACACGACCTCACCCATCATCGCAACTAGCTAGCCAAGCCCAAAGCTGGTGGCTGCCGCTTAACCAGTTTCCGATCATCCACTTGATGCCACAGTCGTGTTGCGGCTGCCAATGATAAATTCCGACAAACATCTCGAGTCAGTCTCTTGCTTCGTTACATTATCGTCTCACGTTCTACACTCTTAGGATCAAAGACAAACTTATTCAATTTCATCTAACAACGAAATGATGGTCCCGAATAACACATTCCAGTCAGCTTCAGCTGCTACACAGTACATGCCATTCAGCAAGTTTGTTTCCATCCAATTATTGCGTATCACAGTTTAAGAAACCTTCTAACTCATTCGGCACTACCAATCACGGATGGACCATGTGTGCGGTCGCATGCCCTAAACTTTTAAATTCTCTTATATTTTAGATTTTTTTATATTTTCTATTAATTATCTAATTTCGTATCTTTTACAATTTTATAACTACACGGCCCTAAACTTTTTAATATAACTTTTTAAGTTTGCACTTTCTGCATTAATCTATCGATAGTTGATGAGATTGAGATGTAATGTTATCATATTTTTTAAATTAGTCTATAGTGTTACCAATGCAGTTAAAAAATGTTTACACATGACATTTATCATCATGTATTGTGCGGCACTTCTAATAAAAGAATGTATACTTTACGGATCAAAACCATACATTAAACCATATAATTTTTTCTCAAATATTTAACAATATTATGGAAATTAAAATTTATAAAATATAAAAAATCTGGATTTTAATGGCTTCTTAACAGCCATGGGGAGAATCTCTCTTTGAGCAGTAGTAGCAACCTTCTCTGCCTTCTTAACAGCTGCTTTTAATGGCTTCCCATCAGTTATGATTTCTGGTTTTTCAATTCCTTGTATATCCGTTATTCACAACTTAGTCAGTTCCTAAAAATATGACAACAATCAAGAAGTACTGTTACAAAGTCAGGTCAAACAAACTAAAATTGTTTAGATAAATGGTCCTTGACAAACCTGGCGATGTCCTTTGGTTCGGCGGTAATTCTTCCTTCTCTTTTTCTTAAAAATAATCACCTTAGCATCAATGCCTTACAGAAGAAAATAAGGATATATAAAAATTTAGGGGAACAACCTAAAGAGTCGATAATGATAAACAACAAATGCATGCTCTAGCAGTCATTGTTTGTAGCATGTTTTCATTTAATGTTCACTGTTTATAAAAACAAATGATCCATGAAGTATAATGGAACTGTGGAAATGTGGTACGATTTCATCGCTTGCTTAACCCCGTTGCTTAAAACGGGGAAGATGTCTTTCTTGGGATAAGGGTAGCTTTTCTTTTGCAATTTAGGTAATATTATGTCACTAAAAATGCAATATGCACTTCAGAATGAAAAAAATATCAGAGTGGAGCTTACATGCTACTCAACAAGAGCATGAACAGCTGCATCTGGGAGTATAGGCCTTCCAATAATTGTTTGTGTAGGTGAGCCCAGCAAAAGAACCTTGTTCAATGTCAGCTGCAATGTACAGCCATAGAAGTATGAGGGTTCAACTAAATATAGAAAAAAAAAGGAGCAAAAAACATGGATAAGTGCAAAAGGAAAAGGAAGGCGCCTCCATAGGCTTTTTGTTCTGCGCCCACATGCGCATAGCTCCATACGCGCGCTTTTTAAAACTAAGTGCAAAATAAGTTGGAACCATAGAAAACGGAGGTTATATAAAACCTCCAGTTACCAACTTTTCCTATAGGCGTTAGAGTCTAATTAGATCCTAGGTTTTATATAAGAGTTTTCTATTAAGCCATGGTTGGATGAGGAATTGACTGCAATATAACATGCAATTGAAGGATTGCTGAAGAATTGTCGTGTGCAGTTTATGCTTGGCTGTGATCATCTGGAAGCTAACAAAAGCCAGTTTGACATACTGCAAGATGGTCTTGCTGATAAATCTGGTTTTGATGAGGATGAATACTCCTTTCATGATGCAGGACCCACAAATTGTGCAGTACGAGGTAGATTACAGGAGAGATTGATGCACAACCATAAATTAAACAAGTCTGAAATTAATATTAAGTTGTTGATTTATTTGGGAAGATGAATGTGGAAGAGCAAGAGTATGATCTATTAGATCCTATTTATGATGAATGTCCGGAAGAAAGCAAAGAAATTGATGTGGTTTAGGGAGAAATGCAGCAGTAAATCAGCACAAGTATGACTTAAAAGGGAGTGAAAGAAGTTGGAACCCTAGAAAACATAGGGTTATGTGAAACCTCTAGCTTCTTTATTTCAGTTCAAAGGCTTGTAAAGCTTACAACTTCTTTATACTAAAACTTTTCTTTTAAGGCTTTCTTGCAAACAAAGTTTTATTCTCAAAACTCAGAATAACTGAATTAATCCAACGAAATTGGCTGTGTGATGTAGGGGTAAGCAAAACTCGACTCCAACTCGAAAAATTCTCATTTTTCAAGTCAACGTTAAAAATTTCAACACAATTGACTTGTAATTTTATAAACTCGATTAGACTCTGAGAAATTTTTTAACTTATGTTAATTTTTAAAATAGAACCCCTAGGAATTAAACTTATATTTTTAAATTTTTCTCTTTTGTCGTGAAGAGAATAAATCAGTGTTGGGAGCAGAATTCTCTCTAAGCATTTTGGGTTCGTCATTGACAAATTTAACGAGTTCACTTTTAATCTTTCTATGAATTTTGAATCTGAACATGAATTCAAATAGCGATTGTTATATTACAGAAAATCCAGGTGTGAAGTGAAATCATTAATATGGGTAAACTACGCAAATGATCACTAATGTTTAATTAAGTATTTGTTTTCATCATTGATATTTTAAAAGTCACTAACGTCATCGTTTGTTACAAATTGATCGCTCGATGTTAACGGTTGTTATTGTGGGTGACATAAAACTAACATGACCTGTTAAATTTGACACCGTTTTGTCTACAATCTCTTATTCTTTTGTTTTCTCCTTTCCTTATTTGATTCTTCGTTTTTCTCATTCAAGATTCCTTCTTTCACTCTCTCTGTCCCTTTGACTCACTTTTTTCAAGTTTTCTTTCTCTTGGTTTCATCTGTATTCAGTTCCTCTTCAAATTTTCAGACAGTTTCAAACTTTTGATGTTGATGAAAGAAGAAAACATGGGTGGTCTTAACATGGTGGAAGTGATATCAAGGTTGTTTGTTGGGTTCTCATCTTCAATGCCATCATTTAGAGGTTTCCAATCGGTTGAACCAATGTCCCCTGCTTCTACCTCCCTTGGCTCTGAACCGTCAATAGTTTGATCTACTGATCCATTTTCTGGTTTGGTTATTTGTGTAACCGACTTATCTAAAGGTTGACAATTTTGTATCTAATCGAAACAAATTTTCCCTTAAGCTCCTTTTGTTTGATCATTTTGGTACTATTTACTTGAACTTTGATTGAACAAAACTTGGACTTGCTATTATAAATGTTAATTTTCTTTGTTCTTTCTTCATGAAATTCATGTTTTTCGGAAGCGATAAACTCCATATATCACTGCGAGGGTAGTCAATAACTCATTGTTTTAGTTATGTTCAACTTGTCCTTTGACGTTGGTTTGGATCCTTTATATATATAAAAAAAGCCTTTCATTTCAAGAAGGGTTTAATACAATCCAAATCTAATTCTTTTAATTTTAAAAAACTCGATCTAATATATAAAATAAGCCGAATAGTCGAAAATATAGCTAGAAAGGTTATTTCAATAGGTGTCTTGGTAATAAAAAAAAAATCCACATTTCCATTTTGAAACTATTCTTTTTCTTTGTTCTTTGTTATATTGAAAGAATAGATTTAAAAAAACATTCACCTTGAAAGAAATTTCACAAGTCAATTAACTAGAGGCATGTCAAATTAGTAATTCAGCATCACTGTCTTAACTCCCAAGATATTATCAAGTTAGAAACAATCTCATTGACCATCTTGCTTATATTCTCAACATTACTATCTTCTTTATTAAGTAATTTATTCAAGTAAGAAACAAAAAAAAATGTTATTTTTATATTTATTTATGAGTTAATTGCATCATATTTCCCCAAACTATAACTCTCATTTTAAATTGGTCCTTAAACTTTTGAAATTCCAGTTTCATCCTAAAACTATGACTCATTCTAAATTATTCCTTAAAATTTTGAACGTTCTAATTTCATCCTTAAACTTTGACCCTCTTTCTAAATTAGTCCCCAAACTTTTGAATATTCTAATTTTATCCCAAAATTCATTCAAATACGTAATAAGTTTCAACCATAATTTAACCTAGTTTTTTTCAAACATATAATAATATAACTTGGCCTAACAATTTTATTGCCAAGAGATGTTATTAGTATACATGTATAGTTTAGGATGAAATTGGAATCTTCAAAAAATTTGGACCAATTTAGAATGAGCATCATAGTTTGAGGATAAAATTAAAAGATTTAAAGTTTTAGGGAGCAATAAACACTGAAATCACTTTATTCGTTTATTTTTTATATTTATTTTAACGTTTATATTCAAAACTTAATAGTATTATTACCAATTATATCATGTCGTGTGTTTAAAGTACCAATAAAATAATCTGGTTTCACCTTTGTACAAATAAGTTGATCTGGCTTGTCTGGATCAATCAAGCAATTCT